TGATGACTGAAACAAGACTAAGTGAAAATTATCATAATGTACAAATTTAAAATACCAAGAAAAAATAATAAATAGATTATGAAAAACAAGATATTTAAATTGGAGTTTGTTAGATTTCTGAGCCCTTCAGTGTGTTTTTCCTTTTCAAACACACATACATAATTTACAGAGGGAAATAGCCTTTTTACAGTGCCTAATATTTTACACACCTTTGATTTTGATTTATGTTCCTGCTTATGTTTTGCTGAACAACCTAAGTACCTAAACTAATGATTATGGGACTGCTATAATATCTCTGCTGTTTGCAAACATTGGTTCATAAATAGTTCATGGTAGAGAGACAAACATCTATGATACTGTTCTGATGAGCAAAACAGTAGAGAGCTTATGGCAAAAGAATCCTGTTAGAATCCTGTTACCTGCAGAGGTCAATTCCATAATATTTCTCTGCAATGGAATCCAGTGATGTAAATGACCATAACTGTGACAGCAGATATTTAGCTTCTATGCTCTGCATATTCCATCACTTTGCATCTCCCAGAAGGCCCATAGACAGAGTTGAGAAATGCAGGATTTCCAATATTTCAGAGAAACAGAAGTAACAATAACATCTGTCTCATCTCAAGTAACAACTTCCCAGATGTTTCTACACCTCATATCATTAAAGTTATGTTCATGCCACCTGAACAACTAAAAATAGAGAGAAATAAGACTATATTTTCTAACACAAAGAACTGTAATAATTTTCAGTTGTTTTTTCCATCTCTGTTAATTTCTGGAAGTCTTGAACATGTTATGTTACTACAAAAATTGTTAACCTTTCAGATAATTCCTCAAATACATCTATACATATTCAATACATTCACAAATAAATGTTTTAAACTAATTGCTGTATCAGTTTGATTTTTAAAAAACTATGTGGATACCAGCAATACTTACGAGATTCTGTTTACACCTTCAGTTTTTCTAATGTGACATAAAAAACAATAAAATATGCTTAAAAAGCCATTTTACTGTAGCATGCCTCGTATCACATTGGTAATGTCATGATTTAAAAGAGCTTCATACAGTAATATATTTGACATATCAAACATTTTAAAGTAGTTCCCCTCATCGTCTATTTCCTCTTGCAACCTATGAAATAATTTGGAAACATGTCTGTATTTCCCTAAAAATTACATACCCTTATAAATTTTAGTTTAAGTATCCCAGAAGATCACACATATGTGTGGCAGCAGTTGTAGTTCATACAAAGTAACCTAATGTATTAAAATACCCTTTAAATTGTGTATGACTATCATGTAAAATACAAGAGCCCTTGCATGTTAGACTCATGAGGAATCTCATCTTCAATGTAAATAAACTACCAATTCTTTCTTTAAACCATTTACATTTGGGTATAAGCATTTTAGCTAGCCTTTTGAATAAGAAGGTAATATAATTGGTACCTTTTTAAGAATATTCCTAAAACAAATATCTTATCAATATCTGCAGTATTTGTTTCGAAGTTTGAACTCTCTTGCTTGTACAAGTGATGTGCACAGTGTTGCACTGCTTTCTTTTTGTAATTTACTCTGAAAACATATTTAAGGGCTGAATTAACATTGGCTTATTGTCATATGACTTTATTGAACCATGCCTTAGAAAAGCTTGTTAAATTCTAAATATTCTAGTTTACAGACATGCAAAAAATTTGAATGAAATAGTATTTTAGGATCCTTTTAAGCAGATTTGTGTGTTTCTGAATAAACATTTTAGTTGAAAGCAGGCTTTCATTAAATCTTCTGCAAAGTTGCTAGAAATGTTAAAAATTCCTTAGAAAACGTGACTGCATTAATTCACAAGTTTTTATCACAGATCAAAATATCATCTAAGTAGTTGTCTGTAATTTTTCATAGTATATGTCATTTAAAAAAAAAATTAATAAAAAGTGAGAATTTGTCAGCAAGCATAAGAAAATATTATAGTAAACTGAATTCTTTGCTCATTTCAAAATGTAGTAGATAGACAGTAAAATTTTTTATGAAATTGTTGTTTTTCTCCATTTGCAGGAAAAATATATAACGTAGAATACCTGCTATATGTTTGCTTATTTTGTCTTTTCAAGGTATTGATATATTGCTATGGGCTAGAAAAATATGTACAACTGAATTCAAAAAATATGTTTATATAATGCTTTGTATGTTCACTTCTGTATTATTTACTTCAAAAAGACCATAAAACATCCATAACTAGAGAGGATGATAGGCAAAGGCAGAATGAGAAATGCCTCCATTTTCCACTTTATATTTTCTAATCTGATAACTGTGGTATTTTTTTAAGATGCTTGCTTAAATATTCTATAGTATCACAAAAAAAAAAGGTTATTTTGTATAAAAGCTCTTAAATTTTATTTTCAGTTTTGCTTTGTTATCTTCACAACTCTTCTGCGATAGCATTATAAAGCTTAAATATATCTACAGATCTGTGAGTTATTTATAATGTTGCATTGGTTTACCTTCAGTGTGTCCTTTTCAGTGAAGTTTCATTTTCTCTGCCCACTGGCAGCCTTCCACTCAGTAATCAAATTTAGTTTTAGAAATTTCAAACATTACAAATAAATGAGAAATTAAAGATGAGGAAGTTGACTACATCTAGTCCTGTGAGTCCTAGTGTCTTACATTCATTATGCCCTCCAATTTCTTAATTAAACCAGAGTTAGAGAAACATATTGTCATCTTTTCTGCTCTTACTCAGTGACACTGAATGGCATGTATCAAACAACTACTGAATATTTTGTGTGTCAGTGACTTCTACCTACTCACACAACCAGGCCTAGTACTTAACTTGGTCTGTGGTGTATTAGTTCACAGTTATTTTACCTTTCTTTTTTCCTTAATCAAACCACAGGCAGGAATAGATGAAGGCTCAGCAGCATTAAGATGCAGATTACACATGGTGCAGATAAGAAAAGTGTTTGGCTGATTCTCTCTGGTTGAGGCCCGTTTGCATACAATAAACTAAACCATTCAGAATACAAAGTTGCCTGTGCTGAGGGAGATACTTCAAAACAGTACACTGACACAAGTTTTCTCTCTATTACAATTCTTTTCCAGTTTTTTGGGGGGGATTGGTGGTTTGTTTTGGGCTTTTTTGTTTGGATTTGGTTTTGTTGGGTTTTTTGTTTGTTGGTTGTTTTTTTTTTTTGTGAAACATACAATAAATGAGGGTATCCTTTCATGCTCAACAGATTTCTGATAACAGCCTAAGTGGCTATAATTGAAAGACTAGTTTGAAAAATGTTGCAGGCTTCATTTTTCTAGCTTTATAGTAACATTGCTATGAAACCTTCAGCAGTTATTAAGAACTCATTTCAGTTGGGTCTGAAACTTGTGGAACAGAAATAATCCTAATAAGAAGAAAATACCAGTTGTTTTGATGAGGACTCGTATTTAGATCATATATTGAAGTACCAGCAGAGGTTTTTTTTTACAGTTTTCTCTGCAACTCTAAGACACTTATTTCTTCCAGTCATAATTTTCTCTAGATTAAAATAAACTGTACTATTCTAACAGTGGGCTTTCATGATTTATACATCTCCATTAAGTACTTTGAAAACCACAAATATATAACAAAAAATAAATGATTATTCTTATTCAGGTATATAAAAAAGTACAGATAGAAATTTTTGCTTATTGTTTTAATAAAGAATCCAGTAGTACCTTTGCCATTTTTATAGCAATATACACTGAATATCAAAAACTAAATTTAAAGTTGTTTCAAATTCATTTTTTATCAAAGTGATATTCAAAATCCCTTTGGTGAACTCTATTACTGGTCTTTAGACAATCTGCAATCAGCACTCACATATTAGTCATATAATGCAAATAGTTTGTTCATTGCAATGGTTTAATTTCTCCACCAATTGAAAACAAATATATTGAATTTGTGCAAAATTCAACTACGTAGCTATAGTTTCTCCTTCCCATGTATAGCATTTTAACACAAGTATGCATTTAGCAGAACACCTACTTATGCAAGTGTTGTAAGATGTAGTATGCTGTCTAAGAGTAGAAATAGGGTTCTTGTATCACTAAAGACATTTAAGTGTCTTAGTTCATTTTAGTACCCATTCTGGAACATTTGCACAGGCAAATGTATTATGCAAGTGATGGACTGTGCAGATAAGATTTTAATCACATTTTTTCTTCATTTAAATATTAAAACCAGTTGGGTTGTTTTAGTTTATTTTTCAGTGACTGACTGCTTTGAATAAATGTGTTCCACTAACTTCCACTACTGTCTCTAATGTATTAATTACTGAATTAACTTTAAGTTTCTGATTTTGTCCCACACTCTTCAATAAAGACTTTTCAGTCTTTTAAAATGGGTTATATTTCCCCAGTATATTTATCCAGTTGCTCTATCCAAATCAGTTCTCTCTGGTTCATTAAAGTATGTTGAAACTTCCTATACTGTCTGGAAATTAAATTGCTGAACCTACAGATCAAAAATTGTTGGAGAAAGTTCTTTCAGGGCTACTTCTACTTGTAGTCCTGGTCTTAGGATCAGTGAACAACAAGGGCTGGCTCCTTCAGAAGCAAAGGTCAGTCAGAAGTCTCACAGTATGTGAATGAGGCAGGAAGGACAGCACCAGTGGCTGTGTCCAGGAACAGCAGAGGATGCCAGTCAATGTGACAGGGAATGGGCAGATCCAAGCCAGGGAGCCTGCCTGTAGGCCAAAGTCAGCACACGGCACAATAGGCACTGGCCATTGCTGCAATATACCTCAGTCAGACACCTAGGGAGCAATCTTCAGCTTAATGCTCCAAAGAGAAGACCTAGCCATTGCTGATGCTTCTCTCAGCCTTTTCTTAAATAGCTTTGAGTGCAGCTGAGGCTTCCCAGGCTGGCCACTTTGTCTGAGTTAGTCCAGGGCTCAAACAGACAAACCTTCATGAGTATCTGTGACCCTTTTATTCACATCAAATAGCAGAGTTCATTCATTCACGGTTAATGAAATGTGTGTTTCAGGATTTGAGGGTACTTACTGTGAAGTTAACAGTGATGAGTGCATCTCCCATCCATGCCAGAATGGAGGTCTCTGTGTGGACGGGGTCAACCACTACAGGTCAGGAAAATTACTTGAATGACAGATATGATTCATGGATTTTTATCATCTAGTTTTTCCTTTGGTACTTTGCCTGTCTAATGTTTACTGACCTTCAGTGGAGGGGGTGGGGAGGAAGCTTGTAATTTGTTTGACATAGTTACATATAGTCCAAATCTTCTTGTGTGCAAAATGTAATGCATATACACCATAAGAACAACCCCAAGAATTTATTTGGGCTAATTAAAATCATAAAGATCTAATTTTAATAAGTAGGGTTGTTGTTAGTCAAGTTACAATAGTACAAAAAATCTGGGTTGAAATTAATAGAAAAACTTCTTGAAGAATGTAGATACAGCTGTTACATAAGAAAGCTTGCAATTATTTCTCTTTGATTATGACTACCCTCACAATGTCTGAGTGCCTCCAGTGAACAGTGATTTTGTTCTTCCCCAAGAGCTGGCAGTCTTACTGGAAGTCTCTGTGAGGAGAACTATGATGTTCACAGAGAATTTTTTTTCATCTTCAGTCTGAGGCCTTCTTGAAGCCTCACCAGCACCTCCATGTCCTCAGCAGGGCTGTTCTCAATCTGTTCATTCCCCAGCCTGCTTTGATATCAGGGTTGCTTTGACCCAGGTGCAGCACCTCACACTTGGTCTTGCTAAATCTCATGGAATTCCCAAGGGCCCACTTCTCAAGGTTTTCTAGGTCCCTCTGCATATCATCCTATCCTTTAGAAGTGGAACACAAAAGGCTAATATTGTAACACCATTGTAACTGGTCATCTCAGGGTCTCACGCCCTCACCATAGATGCTATTCCAGAGCTGAAGCTCTGGAATATTCTCAGAGCTGAAACATGAGAGATGTCAAAACAAGTGAAAAGCAGCTCAGGCCAAGGCAAGTTCTAAGTAAGCTCTTGTACAGTGGGGTCAGCACAAAGCCCGTGGCTTTCAGCTAAGGATAGCAAAAGCCTTATTTACTGCGCTTCAGACACTGTACTTTTCGATGCTTGTTAAAGTACAGCCCCTTGCAATTACCAGTAAAAAGCAAACATGATTTTGGTACCATTTAATGAATACCTCTCAACATCAGTGATATTTTTCCAGAATCTTTATAATGATCTAAAAAGTAATATAGAGACATCCTTTTTGGTAGGTGCTCCTGCCAACATGGCTTTACCGGCACCCTATGTGAAGTGGAGATTAATGAATGCTTATCAAGACCTTGCAAGAACAATGGAACTTGCCTGGATCTCATAAACAGGTTAGTTACTACTAAATGAAAAGTTTCCCTGATTTCCTTATGTTAATTCCTTTTGTTAATTCTGCTTTTGGATGGGACCTTCACCACACAACAAGTTAAAATGGAGTAAGCAAATGCTACTGACTCAGTTTTTTGTTTCTAATGTTGTGTTAAAAGGAAGATAGAAGGGAAAACATTTTCTGCACAACTTGGTCTTTTTCCTCCTTACTTTTTTTTCCATTTGGAAAAAGACTGAAATAGAAGAAAATTTATCTAGAGTTAAATTGCTACAAACCCTGTGCTTGTTCAACAGCACTTCACAAGTTATTCAGAGACTTGTGCCAGATCATTAGCCATTAAGTAATTTCTTATACCTTCAGTTAAAATTACTGCACCAAATTTTTCTATTAATTTAACAAAAAGTAGATCACCCTCTGTGCTTCAGAAACATGGAAATGAGAAAACTCTGTTCGTTACTTTAATATGCATGAGGATTAGGGAGATCTACTTGGCATCAGGAGATACATATGACTTTAAAATATTGCAATAGATCCCTCTGTTACTTCCATTGACATACCTGATTTTCCCTTTTCTAAAGATTCATTTGTAAATGTGCACCTGGCTACTATGGGTCTCTGTGTGAGATGGACGTAAATGAGTGTGAAACTTTGCCTTGCTTACATGGAGGAAGCTGCATCAACAGGCTTGGAGGCTATCAGTGCCTCTGTCTAGCTGGATTCACAGGTATGATCTACTTTTCACCACAGCCAAGAAGCTTATTTCACAGGTTTTACATAGTTCTAATATTATAGCAAAAATAAAAATTGTCTCCTTATTGGAGGATAAATCAATACTAACTTAAGCAGAATTTTATCTAATTCTTTTCAAGTAGCTCATTAGAATATTATTTATATTTAGTCTTGAATTTAATTTCTCTAATCACCCATACATTCAGTTGAAATCTGTTATTGTATAGTGAAAAGAAAATTAATGTGTATGCTTTTTAATTTAGCTGTGAAAAAAGTTATTACCATAGATACAGAGTAAATTTTGCAAACAATAAAATGCTTTCTTGTAGTTTGAATTTGCAAAGAACCATAGAAGCACCTTGACTTTTTGACCCGTTGGATTGACATCATAGCCTTTAGTGCTAATCTTTACATTTTTACAGAGTGATGACAAAATATTCAATGGGTAGAGATGCAGCAAAATTTCTCTAAAATGATCTTGACTTTTATTATATGCTCTGTGTGCTGCTGAGCTAGTTCATACACGATGTTTTGATAGATCCATCTTAAGCAGCATGAAAACACACAGGATCCTATGACTGCAGAAATATTTACAGTTGTTTCCTCAAGTTGAATCATTTCTGCATTTTTTCTGCATAAAATGTTTTTCCTATCTATTCCAGCCCATGATGATTGCCACATAATGTACAAGATAAAAAAGGATGCAATTTGCATCCACTGAACTGAGAGGAATGTAATTCTCCACAGAACAAAGAACAAGTACAGTTTTGGGAATTTCTATATAGCTGAATATCCTTCTTCCTTTCACCACAAATCTTAGTCCTCAGATCACTTGTGCACTGTTCTTCAAAATAATCCTTGACATTTCAGCAAAAAATGAAAAAAAATCAGTATAATTTTCCTGCCTAAACCTTTTAAAGCCTCCCCCTGTAATATTTTCTTCACATGGCCTGTGCTCTAAGTAGGATTTCTTGGGTGTCACAGAAACTTCTGTTCATTAGGCAGTGATGCTGCAGATGCAATTTCTAACTAAGAAATGTTAAAACAGTTGTATTAACTTTTATGTACCTGTTTCTGGAAGAATTTCCTGTTATATTTATAAAAGACAAGATGCCTGCACATGAACACTTAGGAGATGCTAATTTGAAAAGGAGCAAACAATCTGCAGGTGTGCTTTTGTCTTGATTCTTCATTATTGACAAAACAGTTTGACTTTAGTACTTTTCCCTAACATATTTAACCAACAAGGATAAGATGTGGGGTTTTGTTGTGGGTTTTTTTGTGATTCTTTTTATCCAATTAGCTGCAATTTAGGAATAACCTTTCAAAGACAAGGCCCCTTTAAAGACAGATGACAGCATGAATTGTTCCCAAGTCAGATGAATTAAAAAAAATATGTTTAATATTTAATATATGTCAGTTGTAATATACTGACAACTTTAATCATCAACTATTAAAATATTATATACTTATAAATGAATGGAGACTAGAAAAAAATTAAAATATATTGAATTGGTTAGGCCAAATTATGTTAATATATTTAATTTTGTTTTATAAATCTTGTTTTAAAATTATTAATTTTTATTAGATATTCTGAATTTTTTTTCTGCTCATCATGTAATTTATTGTCTTAGAGAAGGAAGTCTTTAGACACTAATCTCTGCTCTCTTGCCTCTAAAATTTTAGCATATAATGTATCTCTTAAAATTTTAAGTTCTCCATGAAGTTATGTTATTTTGGATTTATTTTACATTTATAATTTTATTTCATTTAAAATAGATTTTTAGCAAAAATACATTAGAAATAATTTGTTAACTATTAAAATATAGGGTTTTTTTATCTACACTGCTAATATAAAATCTTATGCTTTGTACACCACATAGACTCTTAAAAAAATTATCACCATTCAGACTGAAAACGCACAGGTGTATTCTGTCATGATTTCAATCACAGAAACAATAGTCTTCCGAAGCTCTAAATATCACTAATGCACTCTGGTTAAAATTCTTACACCAGATACTTTAGAGAATAAAACTTTGGTGATCTGGGCATATAAGAAACTGTTTTTTTCCTAGGCCAAAATAAGAAGTAAAGTGATTTCATAAAGCAATTCTGAAAGTCCTAATACTCAAGATCACAGATGTTACTGCTTATTGCTTGTATCTTGACAGTACCAGTGTTAGATATAAAAACATAAAATAGAAGATATCTTGTCAGTCACTGACTCTAAAACCCATTTTGTCTAAAGAGCCATTTATTGGCTGGAGTAATGAATGTTACTGCTTATAACAGTAATTGTCGAATTTATACTTCAAATCTAAATAAACAAACAACTAAATATTTTGCTTTGTATTGTACCAGCTATGAGACTTAATGTGCATAGAGAATAGATATTTTGAGTAAGAAAACACCACGTTGCCATAGTCTTCTTTACACTAAGATAACATTTGAAATATGTCTTGCTCAGGGACTGCTTTTCTCTACATGATTCCAGAATCCTTTGATTTTGTAAATGTTGTTATAAATGCAGAAAATTTGCTAATAATCTAATGACATCAAAGGGTATGTAACAATTATTTTGGCTTGATAGATTACCAAGGTTCTTTATTAAAGAATCTGAAGTTACACTGTAAACAAGTGGAACTTTTATGACTGTTTGTGGAATTATAAATCAAATGGAATTTAATCAGCAAATTAAAACTAGAAGCAAAAATATAATCTAGGAGTACAGAAATATCTTCACTGATACAAAGTGGTCTGATGTTGCATTCTGAATGTGTACTACAGATTTATGTAAAGAACAAAATTTTAAAAATATCTCAATATTTCACTGAATTTGATATTAAAAAAATAATGAAAACACTGATATTAATTTCACTTCAGATGCTCAGTATAAAATTGTAAAAGAAAGAAGTAATTAAACACAATGTGTTACAATCTCTTGCCCTGAAGGTCACTTTCATGACTGAGGTGTTAATCACTTCTTCTAAATCCTGACATCTGAATAAACTCACGTCAAAATATAACCTGGATGACTCAGACATTCTTCAAGTGAAATAATTTTCATGTTCATGAAAAATTTATTTTACACTCAAGTATAATCCATAAGTGTCTGAGTCAGCAACTTTACTGCAAAATGGATTTAATAAAAATACAAGTTTTTTGACTCTGGAACTTTGTTAATTTTTATTTGCTTAATTTGAAAGGATTCTAGGATTACCAAATTTTGATTGTCTTCATTGAAAGGCTTGATCATTCTCAAGACTTTACTTGCTGGTTTTCTTTATTTGAGGTTAAGAAAACAAGTTTAAGATCTCTTTGAGAGACTAAAATGTTTGGGTTTTTTTAAATGTGTTGGGTTGATCTTGTCCAGCTGCCAGCTGATGATCCAGCTATTCTTGCAGTCCATCTCATCAATAGAATAAGAAAATAAAAATAAAAAAACTCATGAGTCAGTGACATAGAAGGTAATATTGAGTGCAGTGAGTTTGCTGATGACACTGAGCTGTGTGGGGCAGCTGATTTGCTGGAGGGAAGGGATGACATCCAGAGGGACCTTGCCACACACAGTGAACTTGTGGGAACCTCATGAAGCTCAACAAAATGAAGTGCAAGGTCTTGCATGTGTGTCTGGACAATCCCAGACTGGAACTGTTTGTTGACAAGGAGGTTAGGGCAACATGACATGGCAGTGTGCACTTGCAGCCCAGAAAGCCACTCATATCGCAGACTGCAGCAAAAGCAATGTGGCCAGCAGGTTGAGGGAGGTGATTTTCCCTCTCTGCTCTGCTCCTGTGAGCCCCCACCTGGAGTACTGCATCCAGCTCAGGTGTTCCAGCACAAGAACAACACAGGCCCTTTGAAATAAGTCCAGAGGAAGGTCACAAAAAATGATGAGAAGGTTGGAGCACCTCTCCTGTGAAGGAGGAAGATGAGGCAGGCTGAAAGGTTGAGGCTGTTAAGCCTGGAGAAGTGAAGAATATAGGAAGACCTTATAGCAGCCTTCAAGTATGTATAGGGGGCCTGCAAGAAAGCTACAGAGGGACTTTTTGAATTTTACATGATAGGACAAGGGGGAATGGCTTTAAACTAAAAGAGGCAGCTGCATCTGTCATGAGTCAATACCTGGTCTCTTCTCACAGAAGGTACCTTTTAGCTCCTCAATCAACACTTGCTCAACTCCAGTCAATATTAAAAATAATATTTCAATGGCTAAAATAGAATGTGTCTTAAAATGAGCTATACAAATTCAAAATTCTTGTTCAAACTGCCAATCACTGGCTATCATCCAAAAGATGCCAAAAATTACTAAGTACCGTAAATTCACTGATTTCAGTCATTTCTGCAGAGCAGTAATTATTTCTTAGCTCAAAATAGTTATTCTGTTAAGCACAGATCTATCCTTTCTATCTTATTTTCTCTAAGAGATGAGTACAAAATGACATCTGGAAGTGACTAAGTGTGTACTTAAGTTATATGTTAAATGAAGTCAAAATCTTAAAGGCTTAAATAACTCAGCTTGTATTTTATCTTTTACGTCATTTTTGAGGCCAGTCTTCCTTATCAGCAGCCTCAGAACCTGCTGCTCATCTTGTCTATGTAACAATGAAAACTCTGCTCCACTTTCCTTACAGTGGATTTACCCAACAAAAAAGTCCCACAAAATCTAATCTATTAAAAGGAAGAGAAGTTTAATTTATCTTTTTGACCTTCCCAGCTGCTTTTACAGCTTTGTACTGCCAGTCACCTCTGGTAGCGATTGCATCTGCACTCCTCAAGCCTCTGCCTGCATTTCTTGCTATTGATATCCAGTGGAAGAAGAGTAACTACACTGCTATCTGAAGTGACTACTTATTTAGTCAAAGGGGAGGAATCTAATGGCATGCCCCTTGAAATGTTAAAGCAAGAGGCAGCTTACATATAAAGAGGTCAAAACTGATTGCCACACTAAGAACAAATTCAAAATGCAGACTGACAGATCTGAATTTCTGTACTAAATGTAGAGTTTGTGGTGTCTTTTGGTTTAAATATTAGAGCATTTACGTAAGTTTGGGGAACTTTAGAAACTTTAGGTTGGGTGAACACACCATAAAAAGGGCACAAATTTGCTTCATGCATTTTCCTGAGAAGTGCTATAATGTCTGTGCTGTATTCTGGTTTGTGAGAAAAGGAGGGGGCACTTTTGTTGGGCTTGTTGAGCTTTAGCAATAGGAGAAGATAGTCCACAATAGTTCCTTGTATTTGAGGAAAAATTTGTTTTATGTGATCAGTAAAAGCTGTCATACCGAATAGCAGTGA